AGAACATTCGACATCATGCTTTTGAACAAACAGAAGACAGCAGCCATCGCAATCAAGTAAAGGCACGCCGATGCTTCTTACCAGACTCCTTCTTGGCCTTCCTGCCAGGCTTCGATGACGCATCACCTGTAGAATGAATCTTGCACTAAGTGCATATTAGGTTAGCTAGCTCACTTCGTAAGAATTACATGAAGGTGCCTTGGACCACAGGCCAGTTGTAGGATGAGACATGCAGCTCAACATGGTTTCCAGAAATAAATTCCATTGCGCACAGAAGAGAAAAGAGATTAGTCTGTTATCATTCAGAAGCTCCTAAAGCAAGGCAAGACACCTTCAAAGGCATTCTCAAGCCGCTGGTTGGCAGACTGCATCAGGAAGCTTTTGGCATTTCCAGGAGCATCTTCATCCACAGGAGGAAGACTCTTCGAGGAGTTGGTCCTGCAAAGCACTTCACAGAGCGCACTTATAGAAATGGAAGTACTCAGAGTAGCAAACACTAACTTGTCTCAGCCAGTGACATTATAACATTGTTGCACAAGAATGTGTTCTGAGAGAGTAATGTCTCAGACAAGAAACCTGACTGCTGGAGCCCCTTGGGAACAAATATGTACACTTTCCTGCAAGATACACAGACCCCGCAAAAGAAAATGCCATCAGTCCAGAATTGGAAGTTGCACCTTCCCCAGCACCAAGAAGAGGCACTGTATGAACACAATCAGAATGGAAGAACCGCAACTGTCATCTTTATCTAGTGCTTACTTCCTGAACAACCACTTGAAGGAAATGTCTTGCACAGAACCTAACCCACCTGGAGTGCATGAGAAACACTGCAAACACCACATGGAATGTCCTGAGCAATCCCTTCGAGGCACGGGTCATCGTGGAAGAAAACGGAGTACAACTACTCCGGTCCACAAAGACAATTCCCTGTGCCACATACGCTGCAGGCACAAGTCAATGGATCCTGGATCTGTCTGCCCTTTTGCTGCCGCAGCCAAGTTGAGCACAAGACATCGATACTGTCCAAAGGCCATTCCAAAGAAAAGGACTTGCCACCACACTCATTTAATGCACCGTTCAAGCATTAAGATAGCAGCTGCCAGTCACATTATTCAGAGCTTTGTGAGGAAACACAAGGATGGACGAGCACATAAGCCTGAAACCACGAATAACCAAAAGCCCTCTGTGACTGTACCCTGCACATGAGACAGCGCAACACATCCAGCTGCCAAGTTGCGAAGCTACAGAATAAACATGTAGCAGGATCAGCAGCCCATTGACCATAGCATCTCTGACTGAAGTATTCGGCGTTTCCGCCCGGCGGCTAAAGCCGCCTTCAGAACTACTTCCAAATAATGCATTCTGGTAGTGATGTGTGGATAATCTGCTCTACGGCGACATAGTCGCCGGCGGCATAGCCGCCCCAAAAATATCTTAGGGACTCCGCATGTGAACAGCCAGCAAGAAGCCTGCCCTTGCAAGAGCCAAAGACATTTTCGCAGACCCAGTCGCCAGGTCGAGCATCTAGTCATGGAGGCTGACATCCGGACAGCACTGTCATGGTGCCATATGCCAAGAAGAGCACTTGCAAGCAGAAGCTAGCATGGAAATTCCAA